CAAAATCCGCAGAGTTCATCTTGCAAATAGAATTTCGAAATTTCGAAAAGTGGTGAAAATTGAAAGCTCTGAAATTTTTTTTTTTTAATTTGACAAAATTCAATATATCAACAGAAAAATACAAATAAATTAGGAAAAAAAAAGAAAAAAGAAGATACGATTTTTTCTCTCGGTTTGCCATCTTCGGGGTCTCCAAGGGGGTCTCCGATGACCTCAATTTTGGCAACTATTTCTTTTTTTTTCTTTGCAGAAAAAAAAAGAATTAGTGAAAAAAATTTAGGTTCACATTACGTAAGAACTCGATGTACCCTCGATGTACCCTTTTTCGATGTACCCGTGGATCGTGGGCCATTGACCACACCCGTTGGTTCAACGCAACTTGGAAACAAGTGTGGGCACCTGTTTGAATCTTCTCATCCTGCATTGCACAAATGAATGGTGGAATCAAATCATTACTAGTGGTGATGAATGGGTAATGTATGATTACAATAAACGACAAACCAAGGGTGGACAAAGGCGCCAAACCACCAGACGTCCCGAAACTTGAAAATCGTCCCGAAACTTGAAAAAAAATAAAAAAGGGTTGTTGTGGATATGATGGTCTACCGAGGAGTGAAGTATTGGGAGCTGCTAGATGATTGCGTCACTATTACGGCCGATACCTATTCTTGTCAGATCACAAAACTCAGACACCATGTGAATCTTCATTGGAGAAAAACACGGTGGTCTCTTTTCGAAATTATAATCTCCGACCTCATGCGGGAACGACGTCCCGATCTCTCTGGATATTGCTAGACTATTCTGTCTTGTCTACCGTATAGCACGAATCTTGTACTTTCTGTTAGCAGGGTTGCAACCGGCCGGTTCGACTCTTTTTGCGTAAAGTAAAATAATAGAAAAGGTCCAAAATGCAAAAATGTATTTTTGATCAGTTTCATGATTTTTTTTATCATTTTTTCTTTTTTTTATCGTTTAACAATCCCCACTTGGGTCTAAGGAAACGGGTTTCATGGTTTCTCGAACTTTCCTTTCCGAAAAACGCAAAATTTGGAGACAATTTATTGGCGAATTAGTCGTCCCTCGAAAAAGAAAAAAAAATTCTCTGCGTCTCTTATTTTTCAATGATCTCTCAATTTTTTAAAATCTTATATCCGAAAACCGTCCCGCCGAGCGGGGACGGTTTATACGTATAGATATATCGGTTCATTCGGAAAAAGAATATATTTCGAAGGTCATTAAAAAAAGAAGAACGTGAAAAATAAAATTTTGAAATTTTGAAAAA